CAAGAAGGTGGCAAGGGGAAGGGCAAACTGCCCTTAGAAAAGAGAATAAAATATCTTGTTTCCCGTTCCTTTGGGGGGAAGGAAAGTGCATTTTTACTCACCCAGTTCTAATATCTGACCTTTTTATTGTATTCACATAATTATGGGAATGACTTACCCTGGGCCTGCTCTTACAAAGTATGTGTGTTATTTCCCTCACACACACACACACACACACACACACACACACACACACACACAACCTGAGATGGAGGAGGGGAAAGGAAACACCAGTGCTGAGCTCTCAGGTTGTGCCTCACATGGAAGGCAAAGGAAGAACCTATTTGTTAAGGAGATTGTAATCCATATCTGAATATGAAGATGTCTATGATGCATTTGCCTTCTCTGAATGAGATGGGCTGTAGTGCATCTATGGCTCTGAGGCCTCAGCCAGGCTATTTCATGAGCACATTCAAGGGTGGAGACTCTCTCATCCTCAATTCCTGCATTAACCTGTTTTGTCATCCTCTTTTGGTGGGGGATAGGAGAAGAGCTACTCTGCATGGTACAAAGGAAGCATGATCTATGAATAGAATGAACAGCCAGGGAGATAAGCAGAGATACATATGGTTCTGTCAGAGCTGGAACAGCTTTTGTGGCCATCATCATGCAGTATCATTTGGGGATCCCAGGGAGGAAAAAAAAGTGTATTGAAAATAGTCTTTGTCTGTTTGATGCAAATCTAGTCTTGAGACTGTTAATATCTAAAGTCTATTTTGAATTACTCATGACATTTTCCAAAATATAGACTCCTTGATACTCCAATACCACCAAAATTGCTGTGTTCTATCAAACTTGGGGAAGCTAACCACAGAGTGGAGCATGTGCCATGGACAAGCTTTGTGGTCTGGTCCCAGGCATGTTTCTTGGTATCCATGCTTTCTCTATGAACAATTCTAAGAGGCTCTTGATCCCCAAGGGGAAGGACAGATGAGATGAAATCATTTGGAATATATCTATTAAAAATAGCCATAATTCTGCTCACCAGAATAATGTGAATTTGCCTCAAGGGAGTGAACACTCATGTGCATTAAGACAACCAGGGTTATGTTATCAATAAAGCCATAAAAAATGGGAATGCTCATGCTAAAATAAACAGAACCCTGCTCTTAATTTCATGAGGACTTCCGTTGTACCTGCTGGGTTTTCCACTGATGGTTCTCAGCTAATCACCAAAGGCTGGTGGGCACAGGAATCATTAGTAGCCTCTCTGTATTCAAAATGTTCATTGAAGAATAAGAATGCTGCTTTGCTTTAAGAGTTGGGTTAGCACTGTGGAGAACAATATGGAGTTTCCTCAAAAAACTGAAAATGGAACTCCCATTTGACCCAGTAATCCCACTCCTAGGAATATATCCCAAGAAACTAGAAACACCAATCAGAAAGGATATATGCACCCCTATGTTCATAGCAGCACAATCTACAATAGCTAGAATCTGGAAACAGCCTAGGTGCCCATCAGCAGATGATTGGATCAAAAAACTGGTACATCTACACAATGGAATACTATGCTGCCATAAAAAAGGAGGAATTCTCATCATTTGCAGCAACCTGGATAGAATTAGAGAACATCATGATGAGTGAAATAAGCCAGTCAATGAAAGAGAAATACCACATGACCTCACTCATTTATGGATATTAAAGAACATTATAAATTGAAGAACCTAAAGACAGTAAAGCAACAACCAGACTGTCAAATTAAAGCAGGGAGGGTAGGGAGATTTGGGGGAGATAGGAGATCAACCGAAGGACTTGTATACATGCATATAAGTACAAACAATGGACACAAAACTCTGAGGAGGGAGGGAATGTATGGGAGGGGGCAATGTTAAAATATGTACACAGATAATAATTTAATTAATTAAATAAATAAATAATTTTTTAAAATTACAAAAAGAGTTGGGTTAGGTTCAAGCAGTTGACTTTTAAAATTATATTTGCATGGGAGTCTTTATTATCAGAAGAAGCTACACAAACATTTACACACCTCTTAATGGACGGATTTTAATTGCACCAGTCAACAAGCATCCAATTAGCTCTGCTTCTTATCTGCACTGTTTGTCATTGGGACTGCAAACATAATTAAGACTGGCCCCTGACTTTAAGAGGGTGGCTATTGCATAAGGAGTGACAAGAATTAAGATGATGACCATTGAAAACAGGGTCAGACACATATCTAAGGTGGTTGGGAATAGTTTCAGGAAAGACATAGGATTGCATGGACAAAGAGAGGAAAGGCAAACCATAAGTCTAGGCAGAGAGTGCCATGTGGATGAACAAAGGCACATCAACCGGAAGCACAGAAATCCATGTGCCTAGAACGTTGAGTACAGAATGTGGTGGCTCCATGGGAGAAGAAGCAGGAGAGAGATTCAGCTCAAAGGCAGCTTTGCTCCATATGCCAAAGAGTTTAGATTTTTATACCAAAGACGATCCTAGGATATTTGTAAATATTTCCTGCTGGGTCATCTCAGGTCACATCCACACCTTCCACTATTGCTTATGTCAGTAACTTCAAGGAAATCAGGAGAAGCATATCAGTATATATATTTAGAGATAGAAGTATCTCTAAATATCTGTGTTAACTCAGTTTTGTGGCCAAGGATGCAAAGCCATGAAGCAGGCTTTGGAGCAAAGAGAAACTATGCTATGTTCTGCCATCCAAATCACCTGAAGCAGAAAAGTAACTAATTTCATAGTCTTGTGACTATCACACAGTCCTATATAATAAAAGGGTAATATGCAAATCGACCGAGCCATGGAACAACTGGACGCTATGATGCCCACTGGCCACCAGGGGGCAGGCGCTCAGTGCAGGAGCTGATCCCTGGTGGTCAGTGCACTCTCCCTGTGGGGGAGCCACAAGCCAGGCTCAGGGCTGGTGAGTGCAGCAGTGGTACCAGAAGTCTCTCCTGCCTCTGCGGCAGCACTAAGAATGTCTGATTGTGGACACCCCCCAAGAGGGTGCAGGCCAGGCTGAGAATGTTATACACCAGGCCTCTAGTAGAATAATAACTGAATTACCACTGTGAGTTTTCTGTCACTATAACTTAATATATTTTGAAGGTTCAGATTATTTAAAGGACAGAAGATTTCTGTATATTTTCAAAAGGAGATGGGAAATATGAGCAAATCACAAAATATCCAAATATCGAGTAAGTAGATCTCTCTGCCTGAGTGTCCTGTAGACACTTCAAACTTGACATTTGAAAACAAAACAAATTTTTCTCACCCATCCCCTATAAAAGGCTCTTCTTCTCATAGGCCCTGCCCAAGCTGAACTGTCTGAGGCCTGACTTCCTCCACAGCCCACCTGTCTGTCTCCCCACAGCCCTGAAAAGCAGGATAGGGAAGTTTATTGACTGTGGAGTTAACCCTACATGGGTTCTGATCCCAGCTCGGCCACATACAAGCTTAGGTTTTCTTAGAAGGAAATGGGTTAAATGGGGTCCAGAGCGCATTGTTACAACATCAAAAGGCCTAGAAACTGTGCCATAATTGGATGTAGGTGAAGATATAAGCTTTCATTCTTGAAAAGTAACTTTCTTTGAATTGTAGTCTTCATCAGGAATTGTGTGTGTTAATAACCAAATCTTGTCCTGGCCAATGTGGCTTATTTGGTTGAGTGTCATCCTGTGCACCAAAAGGTTGCTGGTGTTCTCTCTCTCTCTCTCTCTCTCTCTCTCTCTCTCTCTCTCTCTCTCTCTTTCTTTCTCTATCTCTCTCCCTCTACTTTCCTCTCTCTCTCTGATGGCAATAAAAACATATTTATTTTTAAATGCCTTTTTTTAAAGAAAAAAACTGAGTTCTTACTAAGATATTCTCTGAATTATAACACAAACCTATTTCATCAGTGTGTACACATTTAATTATGCCAAATAACTACCATAAATTTTTTTATTTTTACTGTTGCCATTCAGTAGCCATGGTTCTGGTTAAACTAAGGTAGTCTGCCTTCGGAGAAGCCTCTGTTGGAAGATTTATCTTAAAGTATTACTTTTCAAGCAGAAGTCCAGCAAATATGAAATCATTTTTTAATTTAAATTACCTTACATAAATAATAATAACTCTCCTGACCTATATACAAATTTCATAATGTTTGCCTTTTGCATGCTTTATATTTATTTTATCTTAGAGAAGTCGCTAAGTTTAATACAACTGATTCTTATATTTTTTTATAATAAGGAAAGAAAGAGAATATTTATTAGGTAATTAATATTCTTCTCAGCTCACATGAAATATTACCCCCTTATAAAATGTTCCTGAGCCGAAACCAGTTTGGCTCAGTGGATAGAGCATCGGCCTGCAGACTGAAGGATCCCGGGTTCGATTCCGGTCAAGGGCAAGTGCATTGGTTGTGGGCACATCCCCAGTGGGGGGTGTGCAGGAGGCAGCTGGTCGATGGTTCTCTCTCATCGATGTTTCTATTATAGCTCTCTATCCCTCTCCCTTTCCCTCTGTAAAAAGTCAATAAAATATTTTTTTAATCATTTAAAATGTTCCTGAAGTGTACAATGTTAGAGCCACGTAAAATATTAATATCAAGAGTGATTACTTTTTAGAGCAATGCTACACACTTTAACAAGCTCATCTGTAAGTACAGCCACTGCCACCAGTTGTAAATGGGGTAAAAGTGAGCAGGAGGCAGGTTTCAGCGAAACTGAAGTATTGTGATCCATAAGCCGTCTGTCTGTGGAACTGGAGCAGGCAGCCCGGGTAGTTTGAGTCTAATATTCCTCCAAAGGCGTTGCAGCACTGCTCTGCGAAGGAAACCGGCAGGAATGGAGGTGGAAGTTACTGTGATTCTCCTGGGAAACAGCAGCAAGATGGGTCTTCCTGAAAGGGCATCTCATTTGGGGAAATGGGAAGTAAGGAGTTGTCTGAAAACATAGGTGCCACGTTACTTGGGATGAACGGGAAAGCTCACTCTCCAACCTGACTCTCCATTTCTTTCTCTACAGCCAGTGCTGATTTTCCATATAACCCAGGACAAGGACAAGCTATCAGAAATGGGGTCAACAGAAACTCGGCCATCATTGGAGGTAGGTGGGTACAGAACAGGCTTTCTTGTGGCTATCACCTATGGGGAGCAGTCATTTTTTTTATTTTTTAAAAAATATATTTTTATTGATTCCAGAAAGCAGGGAGAGGGAGAGAGATAGAAATATCAACGATGAGAGAGAAACATTGATTGGCTGCCTCCTGCACATCCTACTCTGAGCCTACCGTGACCTTCTGGTTCATAGGTCAATGCTCAATCACTGATTGAGCCATGCCGTCCAGGCCAGAAGCAGTAAAATCATAGTCCAGGGGAAAAACAAGTTGTGTAGATTTTTAGTGTTCATTTTGCTATTTAAATATGGCTTTAGATTATGAAGTACGGATATGGATACATTGTGGGTATGTAATCTGGCTACTTTCTAATGCACACCTGTAAGAAAAGAATAATGGTGAGCTAGCCAGAATCTGAATATGTTAGTAAGTAGCTGAGAGGCAATAACCAGGACATGACCTTATTCCCTCCTATTTTTTTTTTTACTTGAATTCTCTCTAAATGGTCCAGGATAGCTTACTACAAAAATTGGAAAGTCTGTGCCATTCTAGTTTCAGAAAACTAATAAGCCAGAGTACCTAATTTGTTCCAGTCTTTTCTTCTGACCATGCTACATGTGGAATAATTAGACTCTCCTGGGAAAATCCTTATACTTGGATCCATATTGATAACCTGTTGTCCATTGCCATATTCTCTCTCTGCTTCTGTCTTATTTTATTAAAGTGTTTCTGCCTCTCTGTGTATAACACATATATGTATGATGCTGCTTAATCACAATTCCATATGCTTTTTTTTCATCTATTGAGATTATCATATGGTTTTTCTCCTTTATTTGTCTAATGTGATAAATTACATTGCTTTATTTTTTTAATGTTAAGCCAATCTTGTATTCCTAGAATTAACACCACTTTGTCATAGTATATTTTTTATATATGGCTAGGTTTGATTTTTAAATTTTGTTTAAGAGGAATATTGCTTGATGGTTTTCTTTTTCATGATGTGTCTGGGTTTAGTATTGAGATAATACTGGCCTCATAAAATGTGTTGAGTAAGATTTCCTCCTCCTCTATCTTAAGAAAGATTTGTAGGATTAGTATTGTTTCCTTACGTCATGTGTTTTAGGTAATTCTACATTCTTATTGATTTTCTGTTTAATTGTTCCATGAGAGAACAGTGTTGAAATCTCCAAATCTGTGAATTGGTCTAATTCTCCTTTCAATTCTGTTAGTTTTTGCAGTTATTGTTTTTGGAGGTTTGTGTTTTTATGGGAGAGGGTAGTGTTTGAAGAAACCATAGTGAAGTGGGGGGAGAGGGGGTGTTTGTGGGATATGTCAGATTAAGTTTAACCTGTAGTCCTTGTCCTGTCTCCACCAGGGGTCATTGCTGTGGTGATTTTCACCATTCTCTGCACCTTGGTCTTCCTCATTCGCTACATGTTCCGTCACAAGGGCACCTACCACACCAATGAAGCGAAGGGAGCAGAGTCGGCAGAGAGCGCAGATGCTGCCATCATGAACAACGACCCCAACTTCACAGAGACCATTGACGAAAGCAAAAAAGAATGGCTCATTTGAGGGGTGGCTCTTTGGCAGTGGGATAGGGAGGGGGAAGGGAAGGGGACAAAAGCACCCTGCTTCATACTCTTGAGCACATCCTTTAAAATATCAGCACAAGTTGGGAGAGGCAAGCAACAGAATATTCTTAAGACTGATGATCGCCACACACAAAATATATATAATAATACTTTTTAATATTTCTTTATAGCTGAGTTCTCCCTTCTGTATCAAAACAAAATAATACAAAAAATGCTTTTAGAGTTTAAGCAATGATTGAAATTTGTAGGTAAAATCTGTCTTATTTTGTGTGTGTTTAGAGGTGTTCTAAAAATCCATGGTAACAGGGCAAGTTTTCTACATTTTTAAGAGCCCTTAGAACGTGCATATTTTTTCTTGAGAAAAGCTGATGCACAGTCACATGGCTTCCAGCATTATTTTCCCTTCACATTAGTCAACTTTTAATGGGCTTTTGTAGCTACTAGTTCATGTTCATATAATGGTTCTTTTTGGTATCCTATAAATTGGAGAAGGAATGAAAGAGGCAAAGAGAACCTATTATTTGCCAATTTTCAATTAGACCTCAGCCTGTGCCGGTTTTCCGAGAGTTCCTGCCTCAAGCAGTCAAAGGAAGAAGGTGATTGCACCTGGGAAGTAGCAACATCATCAACACAGCGGAGAGAAGCATTAAGTACCAGGGCAAGTAGGTTTCACATTGGGATTGCGGATTTTATTTTTCATTGAATTCTACAGATTGTATTGTTCTATGTTTGTAGTCTTAGATCTATTCAGTATCTGTACCTTTCACTCCACTCTACCTACAACATACTGCTTATGTTACATGGATGTGTAAGCATCTCTTTGTGGGATTAGAGGCACATGTCACGATCCATTTGCTCTGTTTCTTTCATAGCTGTAGCAAGAATACGGACACTGTCTGGCTAATGCATAAGTTAAGTGGTTCTCAGTTTGCTTTAAATCTCTAATTTTTAAGCCCCTGTGACAAACTAGCAAACAATGAATGGACACAATAAAGCCAAGTTTTGATTGCTATTTGTACTTCTACTACTCTGAATCCTATGGGGAACACTGCCATGTTTTACATCATCTGCTCCCTGTATCGCTCCATCTAAAACAGACAAGTGCGTTGGTTCAGGGATCTTCCTTGGCAGACACATTTGAAGCTCTGGTTCACCACAAACCTGGTCTCCAAAACTGATTCTCACAGAATGAATCTGTCTAGTCAGTCACACTTCACTTTAATCAGAAACTTCCACCAATTATTCTAACAAATAACTCATTGGTTTTATTTTAGTATGTAAACCAATGAGACAGAAATCCTATTGGTACATCTAAAAAATAATTCCACTTATTTAGTAAAAGATTGCATAAGTTATTTCTAGAATGATTACCATTTATGGTCATTATAGTTCAGGCTCTTATCCTTAATACTTTTTTTTTTTAATTTTTAGACTCCAATATTTATTTGATTACTTGTTTTCCTTCTCCTGCTAGGTAAAATGAGGTTAAAAATGTATCAGTAAAATGGAAATTCTAGTTTACTTGTGTATATGCATACTTTTCAGCTTACTTGTATGCCGAAGTTATTGGAGGATCTCAGTTTCCTGAGTCAGGAAAATGTTGTCCATAGCTGCCAGAGGTACGTGGCACAAGTACCGGCACATTCCACAGGAGACATGACCCATTCAAGCCAAGGTGACAGAACACTCGGGAATCCAAACCCCTTTTCCCAGTTGCTGACCTCAGGTCCTCTCATGAACCCCCTTTACAGGAGCGTGTTAATCGCTCTCCTGTAAAACACATTAAAAATGAAAAGTATTTAATATGGTAAATATCAGAACATTTACAAATGACATAGAAAACAACGGCTGTTGATTGATCCGAGATGCCTCCGTTTAGGGCTCTTTTATGTATATCACATTGAAAAAGCAAAGTTTAAATGTTGTGTTATAGAAATGTTTCTGATTTTTTTTAAACCTATTCTACAGGCATTATCTTTGTACTTAACAAATAATGCAGGTTGGTTATTTCTTGCATTTTCCTTGATAGCTTTGTTCTCTACATACGGTATTATCTCAACACTTCCCCGTTCCCCCAAATGGTTAGGGAATTAAAACAATCAAAACAGTCCCTGATACTAAAATGTCCTCACCCTTTCTCTTTTCTCTCTTCTTCCCACTTTCCTGCTATAAAATGTTAAAAGTACTACCCAACACGTCTCTAACCCAATTTCCAAACCAAGGCTCCTGGTATGCCTACCGGGACCAGTGGGTCCCCCGCAACACCATCATTTGGAATGTTTAGGATGGACAGAGGTATGACTGTCTCTGCCCTTAAAGAGGTTACAATCTGGCAGACAGGACACAAAAAAAATGGATAAGGAATTAAGTGCCAAAAGAAGGCTGGAGATCTTGGCTTCTCTTTGGGACTGTGATCTTCACAATAATCCCTAAGTCTGTTTATGAAGCCTCTATCCAGTGCTTTCTAAATGGTAAATAATTTGTTTATGTGCAGCTTCTTTCTAGCCCCCTCCCTTGAAAGTTTAGGACAGTGCAGCCTAGCTAGCCGGACCTAGGGCCCAAGCGCGATGCCTAATCTTGCTTTGTCAACCATACTCCGCAGAATCTCAACACCATCCCAATGCATCAACAGTCAAGCACAAAAGGCCAGTGGTAATGCATCTTTACATGACAGGAACAAACAAAACCATTTATTAAAACAAGAAGCCGGTTTACAGTCACAGGAAAACTCCTCCTGGGCTTAGTGTTGCTTGTGTAGGAAATGGCTTCTGTGTATAAAGCAAGCACCTGTGTTCTGAGAAGCCAGCAGTGGGGACTTTGAATGAATGTAAAATCTGTGCCATTCTAAACTCTCAAAGTAACATTCCACAGAGCTCAAGAAAGCTAGCTCCAGAGGTGAGAAATTGCTTTATGGTTAAGCTCTTCTCTGGCCCTTCTTTATAAGACTACAATTTTCCTTGTGGTTTTCAACCTAAACTCAAATCAAGCAACTGACATGAAGTTTTTTACTGAAGAGCTGGGAACGAGAGTTTGGAGTGAGTGCCTTTGTTGGAAAATGCCCTGTTTCTTGTGTTTGATAAACAATCCACTTTTGCTAACAGGAGCAGGAATTGAGGGGCACAGGGAAAAGAATTGGTACAAGTCAAAGAGATTTTCATGCTATGGTTGAACAGCTGTTGAATCATCAGGTGCCAGCTGAGAGATGGGCATAAAGACACAAGCCACACCAGAAAAGGCACTTGAGGCAACAGCTACAGCTGCCGGATATGAAAGCAGAGTGTCGGGAAAAGGTCAAGAAGAAGCTTTGGTTTTCCTCTACAATAGGATCAGTTCTTTTCTCGTCTTCCACTTGTTCTTCCAGTGTAAGCATGTTCATTATTGCTTTATCTCACACCTCCAAACAATTAGCACCTAGTTTGAGCCTCTTCATATGTTCTCCTTTTCATCATCCTACCAAGCAGTTTTCAAAAAGAAAGGCAGCAAATTGTCAAATCATGTTATTCATTGAATTCCAGTTACCCAGCCAAATATAGGTCACAAGCTGCCATCCCAGTAGAATGAGCTGATCCTGAAATTGATGAGAAATAAGAGTGAGTCTTGCCAATTTGGACTAAAAAACAATGGGCACCATTTTTTAAATGACATTTGGAGAGTGAGTACCCTGAGAGTCAGCTGACAGAGTGCCAGCCCTTCCTCTTGCTCCCTGCTTTGCTCTGTGACTTTTGCCAAGTTGCTGAACCTCTGTCCTCCTTTGCCTATATTTAAGTTAGAGCTGATTTACCGACTTTATAAGACAATTGTGAGGGGCACCGACTCCTGATGGGAGAATACTTGGAAATGCAAATATAAGGGCCAGAGTCAGTGGAGCCAAGTAGAAGACATGCTTTCTGGGTTGTGGATGTAAGTGACATCCAAAGAAACAATGTGGTCATGTCGGGGGAGGTGGGGATATGCAGGGCAATGCTGTACAACTATCTGCTAAGTTATTCATCAGGTAGACTGCCAAGGGGCCAACTGTCAACACTGCGAGAGGCAACACAGCCAGACAGAGCCAGAGAAATCAGGACTTTGCGTGCATAAAGCCCTAAGTTCCCACTCGTCTGCCTGTAGTTTACCCCAGCCCTCGGTGTGATTGACTGGCTTCTAAGTAAGACAATACCAACAACAAATGTGACTTTTTTGCATAGCCTGCTGACTCTGCAGGATAAGGATGGAAATATCCTCTTCCTTACCCAGTAGTATTTTTTTTTTTTTTTGGATACAAGTAGTATGTAAACTGATTGTAAAGCACAGTTGAAAAGTTGGTTAACTCCCATTGAGCACAGACTGGCAGAGGTAATAAAGGCCGAGGGGCACCTGGGTATTAATGTCTAACATGAATTCACAAGTTTATTTTCCAGATGAAAATGTTCTTTAAGAACAGGTCTATGGATGGTCTGCACCATTCTCAAGCTCTGGCTTATTTCTAGTCAGTGCTGGACTCTGGATGGCTATGAGAGTATGGAGGCCCCTCTCTCGTAGGCCAAGAGACAGTTTCCAGTGTCTCTCATTCTAATTTCTTTGGTCGCGTTTTTCTTTTAATTTTTTTTTTTTCTTCAGTGAGCATGGTTACTTGGGAGGTTAGCGTTGTGAAAAGTTGGCCTAACTATTCTTTCTGTAAAGTCAATGAGGGTCCCACTCCTGTGAAATAACACAAAATTTCACTCTCTAAAAGCAGCAGCATGTAAACTAGAATGAAAGAAGGAAATTATGTATGTATGCCTAATATTCTTTGTGAATGTTCTTTCATTTAACTAAAATTATATTAGAAACCAGATTGATAAATAAAAAATCCAAAATAGTTTTAATTATCCTAAAAGCAGTTTTCTGTGTTCTGTTCCACTCGATTCTCTTAGAAGCAATTATCAGCTTCCAGCAAAGGAAGTTCCAAGCCCTGAGGTACACATCTCTTGGGAACATAATCTTTCCAAAGCTGTGAAGATACAGTCCCTCCTCAAAGACAGGTATTATGTAGATGTGCCCATTGTTAACCTTCCTTGGCCTCACACTCCTCCCCTCCCATTTGTCTTAAAGTGCTTCATGGATATTGGCTTCATGTTTTGGTTTCATGTACACACAGCTTGGTAAAATGTGGACAGAGTCCAGCGATGTCCAGAGTGTATTCTGAGCCTTATTCGGAATGAGGAAGTAACACTGGATGATAGACACAGGGATCCAGGCCAGTGAACTAGGCCCCAGGACTCTGCACTGCCTGGAGGTGCGGACCTTCCTAAATGTACTCCGTGTGTATTAAGAGCTCTTGTCCTGAGTTATCACTCCCACTTCCTGGTCTTCTGTCACCATTGGGAAGGCATTTTCCCTTCATCAGTTCTCAGTGAAAGCTTTCATGCCAGTTAACACCCAGCCTCTCTGTTCCTCAGCAGTTCTCAGGGCCAGTCCACAGCCACGGCAGTGGCACGCCAGTCCATTTAGAAAGCATTATGCCACAGGATCTTGTCATCGTGCTGCTTTGTGAACGTGGTCCAACAGGTACAGGGAGATTGTCATCAAGTCCCTTGACAGTCAGCACTTCTAAATGTTCTTAACAAACACACTTGTAAAGGGCGAGCCAGCAAGTCCAGGGTTTACTGTCTGCAACAAGAGCATTTGAGCCAGGACATGCTCACTTCCCGCCCACAAACCCGTGGCCATGGAGATCGGTGAGTTCCAGGGGACCGGGGCTTTATTGTGCATCAGGCAATGCTTGTGAAATGAATGAGGGGTAGAGAGACAGGGGAGGGAAGAAGAGGGAGTGATGGGGGAGAGGTAATTTGGAGAAAATATATCTAATTTGACTCTTTGTTGGTGATAACATGGCATGATGGGCATACCAGAACACAGAAAAGAGAGCCACTGTATTATTTTTTTATAAAGGGTTAGTGTCCTCCCACAGGAACCTATGTATGAAAGCTAACTCTTTAAAGCAAGTATTAGCATATGTCCATCTTTCCTTGGTCCCTCTGAAAGCCTCAAATTCGGTGAAGCCTGGGCCCAATAATTCCCGTGCCTGAAGATTCCTTTCTACCAGCAACCCTCTGTTTCCTCCGCAAACAGTGCAAGATGCTGACAGAGACTACAGCTCAAAGCAGTTTTACCAGGAAGAGAACGCAAGGGGTATTTTCCTTGATCACGCTTCCACCATCTTTCCACTCATCTTAATTTATCCTCTGGGTATGAGGTGGTAAGGTGAATCTCTTGGGACAGGGAAAATAAACATGTACGTCAAGTCTTCCCCAAAGGAATGAAAGGAACATTTTTTTATGTTCCCTGAATTAAAGCATGAGAAAGTTCGTCATTTCTCCTAAAAATAGAAACTCAAATTATAAAATTTAAATTAAGATGTGATAGGGATTTAAAAAGGCCAAGATGATGAAAATAATGAATTTATTTTGGATTCACAAATAGAGGCTTGGAAGATGAAATTGTCTAGGAAGGCGAGAGCTAAATTGAGATGCTAGGGCAAGCTTTTAAGTCACGAAGGTACAGATAGGGTGACTATGAGCAGACTCCCTAAGACACGGACTTCTGGGACCAGGGGCAGCCTTTGAACCCAGAAAGAAGGCGCATTTAGAACAAATAAAGGGGGGAAAAAATATCTCAGGGCAGCCAGTAAGAACTATTGCAAGCAAAAACAAAATAAATAATCATCTTCCAAAAGTGAGAAAGATTTATTTCAATAATTATACCACTACCTGAATTTTAAAGGAAAATCAAATTAGAGAATCAGTTTACTTAATGAACATTCATGGGTGCTTCCAGTGCACTTGGCACCATTTGGAGCTCTCAGAATTCACTAAAGAACAAGACAGACACATCTCTGCTTAGGTTCTGGTGAGAGGAGAAAGATACTAGGCACACAGGTAAAGCAATATACAAGAAAACATCGTTTCTGGGCAGGAAATTAAGTTTAATTCATTTGAATAGGGGGCTGTGACAGCATGCTGGACAGCTGCTTTCCACGAGTGGTGAGGAGGACTTCTCTGTAGAGGGGACAGAGTACTGGAGGAATGGTCATGCAAAGATGAGAGAGAGCCTTGGATTAGATGATGGAACAGCGGGTGCAAAGGCCCTGAGGGGACAATGAGTTTGGCGTCTAAGACCCTGAGAGGGTGAGTGTACCTGGGAAAAGATGCTACCCAACAGACCTAGAGATGATGTATTCTTCACCCCCATGTCACCATTTGTTCTGAGCAAATTCAGAGCTGGAGAGACTAAAAAAGAACAACTTGATTTTTTTTTTTGGGGGGGGGGGATGGGGAGAGACATAAAGAATATGAGGATGAGAGAGAAATTGCTTTGAAAAGGATTGTCTCCTGTGATTGTCATTGTAGCTGGTAAGTCCAAAATCCATAGATCAGGTCTGCTGATTGGAAACTCAGACAGGACTTCTATGTTACAGTCTTGAAGTAGAATACCGTTTTTCCCCAGGAATCCTCAATTCTTCTCTGGAGGCCTTCAACTGATCAGATGAGGCCCATCCACATTACGGAGGGCCATCGCCTTTACATGATATCAGCTAGTTGTAAATGTTAATCTCACCTACAGAACGACCTCACGGCAACATTCAGGCTCATGTTTGACCAAGACCTGGGCGCCGGAGCCTGGACCATGGACACATGAAGCCAGCCATCACCGAGGGTTCCTCCAGGCACCTCAGGGTAGAAAGCAGAATAGTTTATGACACATGTGTTTATGAGGCAGATCATTTAATCTGATCTTTCCAGGTGTATCAATAAAGACTTGATATTCAGCTAAAATCATATCATCGCAAGCAAATGGTAATGGGTTCCTTAACAGGATGGAAACCCACACAGAGGGATGGTTCTCTCTCCCTCTTCATGTAACCAGGAGATGCTGCAGAAGTAAGAGAAAGGTGAGGACTGTGAGTCTCCAGGGAGGTGAGGCCCATCGGGCTGGTGAGGAGGTGATGAGCCAGATGTCCAGTGGGGAAGTGCCCAGCCTGTGCTCGTCTGTTAGACTGCACTGCTCCTCAGTCCATGCCCACCCTCCTCATGGCCCAGCCCCGTGGGTCCCCTGTTAAGTCTTTCGGGCACACTCAAGTCAGCGAGATGAAAGCACACAACCCAAGGTTTAGGCAGCTCTGCCGGTCCTGAAGTTCCTCTCCTGCTCATTCATCTTCGAGCCACAAGCCGCTGCAGTGAAGGGAGAAACAGTCTGAGGAAGGGAGTGCAGGAGCTGGCTCCAGAGGTTGCTTGAGGGGCAAGAATGGGAGACCCACCACTGACTGTCCACTGTGGTACCGCTCAGCCCCAGCAGCAAGTGACAGGGGACAGCTCGACTTCTGACTCCCGAGTGGACTGATAGACGTCCATTGCGAAATAATTATTTTTTCCTGGTATCCAGTTGAACCAGCACACACTTCTGCTGAAGTGATATTTCTGAAGCTGGGCCAGAGGGCAGGTATTGCCTACTATGCACCTCATTGCAAAGAAAAGATTGCTAGGGAAGTTACAGGTCTTGCTGGAAGCCCGCCTTGGGCTTTGTCAAAAATGCAGGAAGCTTCTGTAATATATTTCTGGGTGATCAAGTTGTGACTCCAGCCTAAAATGTGCAGAACCCATTTGCTTTTTTTTATTTTATTTTTTAATCCTCCCGAGAGGATATGGTTTTTTTATTGCTTTCTAGAGAAAGAGGATGGAAGGGGAGGGCAGTGGGGGAAGAAGCATCCATATGGGAGAGAAGTATTGATTGGTTGCCTCTCATAGGCACCCTGATGGGATCAAACCTGCAACTGTTTTGGAGTATGGGTCAACACTCCAACCAACGGAGCCGCCCAGGGAGGACGAGAGCCCATCCACTTTTATTCCAAGCAGTAACGGTGGCATCCGCATTAAATCATTGCAAGCATAGCAGATACATTGATTACTGCCAGACCTGTCATCACAATTCACTGTGGGAGCGAATTCGAACATGTAATTAGCATCCCCGTCTGTTGTTACAAAATGCAAGTCTGGGGCATATGGGAACTGTGAATCATCCTCAAAATACGAAGCCAGCCAATAGGGCAAAGTCATTCTGGACCAGAGTTACTTGCCTGATGCCTGTACTGTATTGTGTGATTGATTTTGGGGGCGATGTGTAATGGTTCTTCTCCAGAAGACAACTATTTTCTGGAACAATTTAGGAGAAGGAATAAACAGCAGACACTGGGTCATGTGACCAGCTTCCTTGGAAACGTGGTTTGACTCATCGGCCATCCCCAGTCAATCACCAGCAGAAGCTCCCAGGAATGTGCCCCCTTGAGAAAACAGTTGTCTCCTATGCCCCATCTCTAAAAAAGCGGGGAGGGATATCACAGGTGAGCTATCTGGGTGAGCTACCACTCATCTAACCATAATATGGGGAACCCAATGTCTGCGGGGGACAAAGCATCTCTCTAACTACACTCAGGCCGTAGAACACAGTGACAGTGTGCTCCCTCCCACAGATGTCCTTGGGGGCACTTGGAATTTACCTCAACAGCACTTTGACTGCATCACCTCAGAATAGATCAGAACAAGACATATTTTGTAGTGAACAAGGGTAGGCACTGCCCTGAATGCCACCCAGGCCTTCACCCACTGAGAGGTGAGTCCAGCCCACAGGGACACCAGTCTCCATACACTCTGCACTGAGGTGGGGGTGCCTGGCTGTGTCCCCACTAACTTGGAACCCAGAAATAACAGAATTGTTTATAATAATACAGAAATAACTCATGTGTAATGAACTCAGAAATAACTGAATCAATGATGCTTGTCTATAGTAACATCTGACATATGGGTATATTCGTTTTTTAGGACTGCTGTGACAAATTACTAC